CGAGCACAATGTGCATTAACCCTGAAAAATCAAAAGAAGGCAAAATCAAACTTAATAAAATCGGAAAGAGAAGCTTTAATTAGTCTAAAACAGGATAGAAATATTGTCATCGCAAAAACTGACAAAGGAAACGCCACCGTAGTTCTGAATAAATCTGACTATATCAAAAAAGTTATTGAACATATTCAAACGGGTCCATATAAAGAAATTAAGAAACCTGTAGATACAATAATGAATAAGGTTAAGAAATCTACAGCGGAACTAATACGCAGAATGAAGCCATCACTGGATGAGTCTAAATGGTTTAATTTAATGCCTAAAACTAATAATGCTAGTAGAATATATGGTACTATAAAAATACATAAGCCAGGCTACCCCATAAGACCAATAGTAGATTTTAGAAATACCCCTACTTATGAATTATCAAAACACTTAGCTCTAATACTATGCCCCATTAGAAATCGTTCAAACCCTAGATTAACTAGTTCATATGACATCCAACTAGCGACTGATGAAACAACTATCAGCTGGTGCATAAACAGACAGTGCCTACCCTTGGAAAACAGAAGAAACTATTTATATAATCTCGACACTATGAAACAATTTGTAAGCATCCACTTAAATTACCTGATAAGCATACTGCACTTACACTCCATTTGTCTATCTTATAAACTTTTTTTAAATCCAGTCCCTGTAATCCCCACCAACTTTATGATAGGATTTTTCAAAGTGTACACACCAGAAGTCCACATACTTTACAGTGCAAGTTCATAATAAGAACGTTGTGCGTCGGTGGCACAGTGGTTAGGACTCTCGCCGACCATGCACATGGTCCGGGGTTCGATCCCCTACCGACGCACACCCGATATCTATGGTCGGCCTGGCGCAGATGCATCCACTCCCTGTGACTTATGATCTTCAATGAAACTGTTTTGTATTTCTTTATTACTCCTTGTCTCACCCTCTGCTCACTGTTCTATTATGCTTTTCTTGTACTTTCTTCTCTTGCTTCGCGTGCTACACGGAATGTGGTTGAACTTCCGCACATTTGTGCAAAGTTCTATCGAAAACAGACAGACAGATGGTCGGCCTGCAAAATTTGGCCTACCGATACCAGATGCTGGAAAATCCATACTTGTACCAAAAATACGGTGTGGCATCAAGCTGTAATCAAAATAAAAAATAAATAAACGCGACAGATTAAGAGGATACATAAGTTCGGGAGTCAATAAAACTTAGAAAGGCTGAGAAGAGGGGTCACGATGATCTGAAAGAATTTTAATATCATAACGGTACAACTGATTGCTTTTCGAAAAGCAAATTAAAGGAGCACTCATAATTAATAAATGAAATCGCTACACATTGTATTTATACAAAAATAGAGAAATAATAAAATCAGTAGAATAGGTACGAAAAGCAAACTAGCAAATAACTACAGACTTAGATGCTTATAAGTTTGGAGCCGATAAAGCATGAAGAATTGCGCTACTATTGGTTATTTTACTTACCCGGCTGCATAGCCACAAAGCTCAAGGAGCATCTACTTCAGGCCTAACAGTGTCTTACTTCTACAGATTATCATTTATTATTGTTATTCCCCTGGGTTCCCAGTGGAAGAACATAGGGCTTCAAAAACACATCTCCACTTTGTCTTATTTTCTGTTGTTGTCTTTATCTGGACGCACGATTGCCCATAGTCTCTCAACTTCTCCTCGTAAAATCTCCCATATATCACCTTCGAACCCTAGCCCAACTCGTCACTTTGCATTCGGGTTCCACTCAAGACCATTGCGCGTGAGTTCACTCGACAGCTTCATTTGCGTGTACCCAATTCATCTCCATTTCCTTCGAATATTTGTTGATCAATAGGTTCTTGATTGGTTCGTTCCCAGAGTTTCTTGCTGATAACTCCTGGTTGACCATCTGATCTTCACCATGGCGACAGAGAAGGTGGCAGCTGTTGATAAAAGTTCGCAGTGGCCTGTTGAAAATGCTTTTCCTGCAGACCAGAATTCGGACCCATATAGAAGAACTGGTTGACTTAATATTGGTGTCGAAAATCCGAATCTTGTTCTTTATGCTGACTGAGTGCAGAGACAGCACTTGAACTGCATTCAAGGTATCTTTTTATAGTCGCATCTTTCAGTTTCTGAATCTTGAACTTGAATTATGGTCTATCTCCAGTTGTTCTGAAGGCTTTCAGCTTGACCCTGAAGGTTCCTTGAACCAAATCATGGCCTGAACCCACATTTGTTTCCTTTCGCAACTTTGTGTTCAGCAGACTCCATCCCCATTTTCTCTAGATTGAGGTTAAATTTATCTGTTTTTTGGTGTGTCCGTCAGGCGAAATCCATGCTGCTTTGTGTATATCCTTGTGAGTACATACAGCCTCCGGTCACCAAATCACTGAAGGCGCAAAAGCCTGCGAAGAGTTCTCCTCCTTTATTCATTTCGCCGAGCCAGAGCCTCTTGACCTATGATGATGAATTCTCTTCCTGTATAATCTGCTCCCAATTCGGCTTGCATTCATTTCGCCCATAAGGATTCTCATGTCACCGCTCGGGATGTTGTCCTTTACTGTTTGTAGTTGTCTGTAAAAATCTTCCTTTTTCTCTTGTTCGGTGTTGTTTGTAGCATTGGATAATTGTAACCTTCCTTCCTTTTGAGTCGAATCTTGGTACCATGATCCTGGATGAAATTGCTTACCACTACATTAGAGCTTTGGTGCTGTTGGTGACATCATGGTAGCCACTCTCTGCCTCAATGTGCTCGTGGTTGTCTCTGGGTAATCACACCGAAGTAAATGACTGCCTCTCCAGTTGACAGTTTTGACAGTCTACAACCATTTCATCTGCTTTTGCAGATTCCGACCACTTATATGCCCCACCTTCTTTAACTACCTGCGCAGCCTTCCCAGTCTCATACATAGTACGTACATTCCATGTCCCGATTCTTATTTTCGCTTTCATCGAAAAAAGACACATCGATTGACTGGTTTCCCGAAGGCTTTCACCAGCCTATTTCGCCTCTCTGATTCCAGCGAAGAACAAGTTTATTTTACATATCTTTGTTTTAAATAGTTTTCTTGTGCGCTGAAATTGCAGTTACAGTTTGGTTGGTTTTCAGGGGCAGGGTCGCTAGCCTCACGCTCAGTCTTACTGCTTTCCCACAGCTTGGGACCGCCTGAAAAACCAGCGAAATAGTAAACTAGTTCGCTGTAATCTAAGAACTACTTGAGAGTGGACATTTGTCAGCCCACTCATCATAATGAAAAAATTATAACAAAACAGTTTACTTCATGAGATACTAATATAACTACAACCTGTTACAAAGAAAAGTTCGATTGAACTACGTTTACCCCATTGACTGTCTTTTAAACAACCTGCCTGCTGGTATTAGATGGTTGGAGGCAATCGGCCACATAAAGCCTTGCTTCTAGACTTCGTGATGGTTGGTACTCGCCAGTTAGCAAGGTGTATCTGCAACGTCGAAGGAACTAATGTCCCTTCTGAGAGTCGAACCCAAACCCTCTAGTGCTGCAGTCAAAGACATTACACTGAGCTATTCGTTCTCGCAATTAACCTCCTGTATGACTGTATTGGATACTTTTATAGGACGTTAACTAGTGTCATGCATCAAGTCCTTTGTTTGGTATAGACTGGATTCTCTCAGTCGAGTTTGCAACGTCAATACCAAACGAAGAACTAGACGTATGATACTACTTACAGTCCGACCGAACTGACTGATGATACCAACCAGCAAAACAAAACATCATTTGCAAAGATGACCATTATGGAAAAAACAGCAAACTCAACTGGTTAGAGCCTAAATGGACTACATCGACTTCCAGCATAAAGATAAGAAGTGAAGTGGTGGTAGAGCGTGTTCACCACTTCACTTATTTGGGAAATTGCATCAGCCCCAACGGGTTAGCCACCGACGAAATCTCACCTCGGATACAAGTCTTGTATGGCACTTCCCAGCATATGTCATCTTTGACGTTCACGTAATAGCCGGCTGTCCATCAAAGGACGAATGTACTGCGCACCAATTCGGTCCGTTCTCCTTCATAGCTTTAAGACATGGCCATTGAAAGTGGAAGACGTGAAAAGGCTAGTTATCTTTGGTCCGTTCTATCTCCTGTGTTAGGTGGCATAATAGGGGTATTGAGGTTACGCATCAAGTGGTAGGTAAGGACAGAAAGTCAAGTGTTGAGGCTATGAAACAACATCGACTGAGATGGTTAGAACATGTGTTATGTTCGCCTAGCAATCGCCTTCCTCGACGGGGAATGTTAGCTGACATAGGATCAGGTTGGATAAGGGCTAGTGGTAATCAAACCAAAACTCGGAGTCAGTCCACGAAATCTTTGACAGTTAGTTCGAGACAGCCACGTAGGGCAGTGTAGACTTCCTGGTTGGGATCCTCGGGACTGTAAGATCTAATGGCATTTGGTGATATGGCTCAAAATCATTCTCAATGACGCAGATGCATTCACTCTCTGTGATATGTCATATCCATTAAAACCTTATTGTTTCTCTGTGTTACTGTTCTTTCTCTCCCCACATTTCTGCTTATTATTGCTCTTTCAAATCTCTTTTTCTGCCTCTTTTGTCTTCTTGTGTGCTACATTGAGTGTGGCAACTCGAACTGCTGCACTTCTGTTTCAAGTTATGTGTTGAAACCAGTAAGTCAGTCAAATAAAAAGTTAAAATACAAGCAAAAGTTACTGAGGATACCTTAAAACTAAAGAAGCAACCATGCTGAAATAATCACCAATCACATTACTACAACTACTAAAATACAAGGAGTTTATGAGTTATCCTAATGGTTGGCTTGTGAGCATGCTTGCAGGCATTAGCTATCCTCAATCTCACTTTTACGCATCAAGTCCCAATTGATTAAATGGGACTCGGACAGTTCACATGCCATCGCACATTAACAGTATGACGTGAAAAACTCCAATTACGAAATTTTACCAAGATAGATCTAATCTACATTCCCCAGAACTTTCTCCAGAATATCTTCAGATGCAAGGGAATATACGCAGTGTCACAATTTTGTACAAATCTTCTACTGAGCATTCATATAAATGACAATGGGTTTCTATATCATAATCTCACATTTTGCAACTCGTAAGCTGCATGCCTTTAAACTAAGAACTCATAATTAACTGCTTGTACATAAAGCACTACAGTCACAATTTTCCGCTGCGGCATTATTTCAAGCATAATCCTTTTGAAGAACCATAGATCTAATAATCAATTCATGAAGTTATCATTACCACACAAAATGAAACAATCACAACTGGCTGGACAGAAATTTGGAAAATACCACAAAGGAAGTAATACCTTGAAGTTGACTGGCTAAAATCAAAAATATCGTGGAATTAACCAGCCGACTTCAACTAAATAAGTATTAAATTTAAAGAAATAATGACGAGAATTTCCGTTTAAAAATTTATTTCAAAAGCAAAATGTGAGGTGAATTCCATAATTTCGATAGTTTACAAGTAATGTCAAGAAATATTAGCAAGAGTGATTACCATGAACTAGTTTAAACAGCTAATTTATACAGGCGATTATATAGAAAATAACAGTTTGACAAAAGAATTTGGTTTTCATTGGGTAAAATCAATAAATAATGACTGAGTGGTAATTCTCTGACTAAAAGGTCGAAACTTTCATACTCTCAAATGCTTCAACCATTTTTGCACGAGTTTCATTGAGAAGTTCATCAACTTGCGACTCATTCATACCTTTAGTCTCAATTCTCGGCAAAACCCTCACTCTGTATGTAGCTACGTAGTGAAAATAAACAAAATACCAAATTTTACATGAGAATTTGAAGCGAAATTCTTCACAATTATTTTAAGATAAAAAGTCAAAATTGTCTATTACGTCGGTAGTGAGGTCATTCATAGAGAAGTTAAAAAAGAGTGAGGTGTTATAAACGAATTTAATCAAGATTAACCAACAGGTAACGAAACACAACACTATAATATGCTCCACACCATTATTCACATATCCTGTAGGAACCTGTGTTTTAACCTGTTTTTCGAGTGTTCAGTTACCAAGACGATTTTTCCCGCAATATAACCATTTGTGAACTGGGTCCTTGTCTCTGTCTGTCTGTTTTCGACATAGAACTTTGCACAAATGTGCGACAGTTCAAGTCGCCACACTCCGTGTAGCACGCGAAGCAAGAGAAGAAAGTACAAGAAAAGCATAATAGAAACAGTGAGTAGAGGTGTGAGACAAAGGAGTTATAACGGAGAACAAAACAGTTTCATTGGAGATCATAAGTCACATCAATCGACGAAGTCGTGAAGCTACAAAGACTGAGATGGTTAGGACATGCGTTACGTATGCCAAGCCATCGCCTCCCTCGACGAGCAATGTTAGCGGATATAGGGTCAGGCTGGAAAAAAGCTAGCGGTGGTCAAACAAAAACTTGGCACCAGTCAATGAAATCCACAACAGTTAGTTTAAGCCACGTAGGAAGGTGTAGACTTCCAGGCTGGGGTCCTCGGACGGTAAAAATCTATGGTTGGAAACAATTGGTGACATGGCTCAAAATCGTTCTCAGTGGCGCAGATGCATCCACTCCTTGTGACTTATCTCCAATGAAACTGTTTTGTTCTCCGTTATTACTCCTTTGTCTCACACCTCTACTCACTGTTTCTATTATGCTTTTCTTGTACTTTCTTCTCTTGCTTCGCGTGCTACACGGAGTGTGGCGACTTGAACTGTCGCACATTTGTGCAAAGTTCTATGTCGAAAACAGACAGACAGATAAGTCACAAGGAGTGGATGCATCTGCGCCACTGAGAACGATTTTGAGCCATGTCACCAATTGTTTCCAACCATAGATTTTTACCGTCCCGAGGACCCCAGCCTGGAAGTCTACACCTTCCTACGTGGCTTAAACTAATTGTTGTGAATTTCATCGACTGGTGCCATGTTTTCGTTTTACCGCCACTAGCTCTTTTCCGGCCTGACCCTATGTCAACTAACACTGCCCATTGTCGAAGAAGGCGATGACTAGGGATGCGTAACACATGTCCTAACCATCTCAGTCTTTGTAACTTCACATTCGTCGATTGATTTCCCCTGTTTACCTAGCACTCGACGCCTAACCTTAATGTTGCTCACCTTATTATGCCACTTTACACGGGAGATAGAACGCAGGCACCTATGATCAAAGACAGCTAGTCTTTTCATGTCTTCCATTCTGAATGGCCAGGTCTCACGACCATAAAGAAGGACAGAGCGGACTGATGAGTAGTACACCCGCCCTTTGGTCGATAGTCGGACATCTCTACTAAGCTAGAGACGGCATAAGCTGGCGTACGCGAAACTAGCCCTCTGTATCCGTTCTCAGCTGAGATTTCGTCAGAGATCAACCCGTTGGTTTTGGCTGATGGTACTTCCCACATAAATGAAGCGGTCAACGTGCTCTTCCACTTCACTCCCTATTTTTAAACTAGGCGTCGATGTAGTCCAGTCCTATAACATCATCTTACATTTGGCGGGAGCGAATCGCATGCCAAACATTCGTAGATTACAGCTCAAGGTGTTCAGAAGACTCTGCATTTCGTCGGCGTCTTCGCCTAGAAGGACTATATCGTCTGCATATTCCAAGTCAACGAGATTATTCCCTGGTAGCAAGTCAATCCCTGAATCGCTGAAGTCACTTAGGGTTAAGTCCATTAACACATCTATGATGAAGTTGAATAGGAAAGGAGATAATGGGCATCCTTGACGGACACCACTGGTCGTCACCAGTTCAGATGACAGCTCGCCGTAAGCCCTCACCTGGCTGTATGAGTACTGGGTCCTTAGTTATAAGAAGTGGGACGCACACATCAATAAACTGAAGATTATAGTAATGCCAATTAGTCAGAATATCATTAGTCTAAACATACGTAAACTGTTCTTCAGTGAGTACTTTAGACACTCAAGACTTTAATATGGCTCCATCTATAGAATTCAGTTACCTAAAGAAGAATTTTCATGTGCTAGGCTAAATCACAATTATTATATCAGGGTTGATAATACCAGACAGTGAATCAAGGTGAATGGGTTGAAACAGAATTCGAGACTGTAACCCACTCACTGTAAATTAAGTAATACGGTCAGTAAGCTCAATACCAACTTGCTTTACTAACTCCAAATAATTAATATTTTAAAGCAAACAACTCTCACGACAACACAGAATCTACTGTGCATAATGACCACATGCCACGACTTTTCACTAAAGCACTGCTAATGAATATAAAGATTTCACAAAAATCCTATTTCTCAAAAATTCTGGCTGCAGTAGTATGCGTGTCACTAACCGGATTACGCAGTGGACTTCTAACCAACAGATCTTAAATTAGAACTTGGTTCTAACTAACTTGGCCTGGGTGGGGCTATAGCTCACTGGTCTAGACGCTCGACTTCTAAGAGGTGGATCGCAGGTTTGAATGAGCTTCACCTACCGAGGTTTTGGCAGCTACGTAGTATGACTAGTTCTCACACAGTAGGCCAAATGGATGGAATAACACGAGGTTTTTGACAAAAATTTCATTTCAATTTAGCCTGAAACGGGCCGAACCACACAGAACTTTGCCAGAGATGTATCAAATCACGTGGCCACAATTTACAAAAGCACACAAAAGTAGAAAAGAGGAATTCAAGAAAACTACAATAAGCCAAAATGCAAGGGAGAAAGGATAACTATACAAAGAATAACAAGGATCGGTTGATAATATTACACCTACCAGGAGGAAGTGAACCCATACATGTGATCAAAATAGACAATTCTTTTGCATCATCAGCTATTAACAGCTGTCTTACGGACGTGAAAGACGGGGCATAATGATTCAAAGTCTCTTGACAGAGACACATATCTTAGAAAACCTGGTAGTTTTACAAGCCTCTGCACAACAAATGAACCGCCTAAACCAGCAAGAGGTTCGATTTGAGTCTGAGAGGCACTTGTGGTCGAAATCACATATATCCAACTCACAAGCCACTGAACAAACACACTGGTTGATCCTGAAAACCAGTACAAATGGTGTTAAATATTGCCCATACACTTCCCAAACAACTGATAACAAGCACCTAACCTAGATAATGAGCTCTACTGTGATCGACTTCTACCATTTGCAGCGTAGTATGCAACAATGTCGCGACACTTGTCATAGCACATCTCATAGTTTTTGTTCAACACAGAAATACACAGCCACTCTAATCTAATGAATCCGGGCACTAGTTGTTAAACCTTGTTAGAATGGTTGGTAGATTGATTTCAAGATGGAAGTAACAAACATTTATAGCCATAAACGAGGATGGAGAGCATTTATTCCCCCTGATATTTGATATTTTGCGAAACTACATAGGATCAAGAGAGATACCACAAATGGATTTGTCTAAGCTTCCACAAATTACCATTTTAAAAAAGCCTATAACTAACGATAGCTCAGAAATACTAATTACGCAAGTATTTCGTGAAACACATTTCGTAATATAAGCTATGAAAGGACTAACCAGTGTACCATTCATGGAAATCTCGCTATGTGGGACTCTAAACTTGAACCTCTTGCAGGACAAAAAATAGTCGTACTATAAAAACCAAAAGCCCATATAATGCATCACCAAAAATTATGAAAAAGTCCAATTCAGCGTTGAGGAACTGAGGTATTTAACTTACCACCTTCGAAAACTTTATTTTTGTGATCTAGGAACCTTTTGTACGGCTCAATGACAATAGGCTGAATTGGGAACTGAAAAAAAAACATAAGTTGATATAAGGTATTACTTGACACTGGATGGCCATATGAAAGGCTCCCTTTTTAAAAGGCAGAAGGTTGTCGTTATCGGATCTTGTGCCTTCGGGAAATATAAAAACAGAAACCTAATATAGTTATTAAGAAACGTTACACACTTACATGATCTCTTTTGGCTGCTGCTGAAGCCTTCTGCATGGCAGAAATAGCATCCTTATGGCTCGAACGGTTAATACAAATGGTATTGCTCAGCCACATAACTATTCCCATGGGACCTGCTAATCTAAGTGAAGCCTTAGAAACCACGGTACAACGCTTTGGCCAAACACCAGCAGCACCTGAAATGTCACAACTAGAGAGAATATACAAGGCTTAGTACTTGCTACATCAATGCAACTTTGATGATTACACACATATATACACGGCTCTTCAGACAGCATTTCAGAATTTTCGATAACAGGATGCAAACCAATCAACCGCCCAGAAAAAGACATAATTTTTATATACCTCCTTGTAAAATAATAACGAAGGCAAATAGGTCAATACCAAGCATTTTGATAGCTCCGCCCATGAAAAGCCAATCTGATAGCGTAGTAGAATGACCCAAGTAGAATCACCCCACAGAAAACAGTGAATCTGGTGTAGTACTGCACTTTCGGAATTCGATACAAAACAGGAATACAACCAATAACAATAAGACCATAGTACAAAATCAAGTACATCCTTGATGTTGTTTTCCCACCTTCTTGGTCAAATCTCGAAAATTGAACTATGTGTCAATAAAACAAACCTGTTTGAAAACAGTAACAGTGAGGTTAGTTTTCTCTAAATAAAAAACGATGAGGGTGAACTGTGATCGTCTTTATAGAGATTTACTACACAGATCCTGAGATATTTTTAGGGATAGTCGTTTGTATAGCTACCACTATTTGTCATTGTCCTAACTACTGGTCACTGCGAATTGGGTCAGGTTGAGTCGGTCTCATATTGTTGTTGAGTTATTGAATAATGATTAGGTTGAGTATGTTGCCAATCCACGAGTTCAAACTTCGAATAACTGTGTCCACAAAACTAGGTACACTATTTGCATGTGTGCATATATGGATATTGTTTAAAATGAACTTATAAAATGGAGTTGCTTTGCTCACTTACATTAAATTACATGTCTACTAATTTTTGGAGAATTTCACATTTGTACGTACCCAGTGAACGTCTGGACGTGATCGTAGTGCTGGGATCGGGCAAGTAATCAATGCCGCACTTCGTAAATTTTGATAAACTTTCACTGCGTTAGATTCCAGGGTGTTTGAAATCTTCCAAATTCATATTGCGGTTGTGTGATGATGAAGCAAAACCCATTAAATGACGTCGAAGAGGATTATAGCAAGTGAACTTTTGCTGAAAGTGGGATAATATGGAAGGGGAGGCATTCAGTGAACATATATACAACGTCTGCTGTTGTGTGGCTACCACTAACGATGAGATTTTACCCCCCCCCCAGGGCTGAGGTATCCTACTCCGGGGAGTTTAATTCCACGCGTTTCCATTATTCCGACCTGAGCAGAGTGGGTACGAAGAGGAAACAGCGACTGCCAGTACTGGATACGCAGGAGTTTTTGCACAGAGTGCCAAGATATATCGATATGAAAGTCACATTCGCGTCTGCAGGAGTCTTTGTGGTAATTTGCGCCCATGCTGCAGACTGTCAAGAATATTTCAGAGTTGAAGGACCAGTATAGTGACCTCGGATAGTGTTGATCTGAGTTTTGGCCTATGTTGTCGGATGGTGAAAATAAGCACCAGTTTGACGAATATATGCTTGTTGGGTGCTTGTCCACTGACGACCAACATGCGTCAACAATGAGCGGACCTTGGCCACCAAGGACAAGGCTGGAGCGGAAAGCAGAGCAGAGAGAACAAGCACTCAACAAGTATGTATTCATCCTATCTGCCTTACTTTCCCCTTCAGCCTTGTCCTTGGTGGCCGAGGTACTTCCAGTGTTAACGCATACTGGTCGCCAGTGTAAAAAGAGGTGAGTCCCACTTTAACAGAGAAGTGTCGATGATGGTTAAGATTGAATGGACGTTCAATGAACTTGTTTACCCGAGCCAGTTTTACTGTACGTTGGGGGCAACAATGTTCGTTGCCTTGACGTTTGGTCACTAAATGAAGACTGGAGCAATATGATCGTAAGCATCGGTGTATATTATACTAACGTTATTCGCAGACTTCTTTAGTGCTCGGTGGCACAGTGGTTAGGACTCTCGCCGACCATGCACATGGTCCGGGGTTCGAGCCCACGCCGACGCACACCTGATATCTATGGTTGGCCTGCGAATTTTGGGCTACCGATATCCACGCTGAAAATTCCACACTTGTACCAAAAATACGGTGTGGAATCAAGCTGTAATCAAAAATAAAAAAAATAAAAATAAAAAAATAGTGCACCGACTGTAACGAATTGTGAATCACATGGTGAAGCTCCTGGATCAATAAATCTTCGACTTCCCATTCATCTTTTAATACTACTTACGTTGAAATCAAGTTCGTTACTATATACGTAGAATAGCATTAATAAATAAATAAATAAATAAATTTATTCTCATGATACAGTACATGAGGGACGCCAGTTTACAGGCATCATCAAATTGTTACAGAAATAGGATCATATTATTCAGTCACAATTTACAGTCGATAGCAAAATATGTTTAACATGTACACTGGAGATTATACGTACACTTGATAAATGTTAATCCGAATAGTATAAAACATCCTTTTCACTTATGTACAATCATTTCTGTGCATAGTTGGAAAAATCCGCTAGATTTTCAGTGAGTGCAAAACATCTGAGTTCCGAATAGTTGTCTTCTGGCCTCAGCAAATATTCCCGAAGCAGGTTGTGATAATACACAGTAACCCGTATATGCTTCTTGCTGACATCTATGGCCATATTGCATCAAACTCCATGCAGTGATAATTTATGTTAGCCGCTTGCCTCTCGAGCATGCAGCATTTACGCAGGCCCCTGATACTTTTGCCTGCAATTAGTAGGCGTTTTGCTGCAACATCAATAATAATACAGCGTATATTAATATATATTTTTATTCCTATCTATGTGGGACACACCAGTTTACAGGCATGGATAAGCATTATTTAAATGACACAAATTTGGTTTATGTTGAAATTACATGGTTGCTATCCTTTTTATCTTTAGTTCTTTGGGAAAATCTCCTAACTAGTCACCAAATGGAGCACATCAAAAAATATAGAACAGTACTTGCCGGAGCGTCTTATCACTTGCCATTCAAGGTGTAATCTTGTCCTTCTAACGATTTCCAGCATTCTCTGTGCACACAATTGCAGAGTTTGCACACCATAATCGTGTGTGCTTGAATGCAAAATAGACTTCTATTTTCTGCTCTAAATGGTTGACAGTTCCCGCTTCACATAAACCACTATTACCGTCAATTCCACTCTTGAGGCACGTACTGAAGTTTTTATGACTTCACAGTGTGAATAGGAGTGCTCGTTGATAGTAATGAACGCTTGATAATCTCCTATGCAATTTTCCATGACCCCAACTGATAAATCCAAGAAGACTCACACAGTTAGCTAATAAATGCATATTCACGAAACAAACGAGAAAGTGATCCAATGAACGAAGGTATAGAACATATATTGATCCATTAAAAGGCTCGAATTTGGGCACTGATAGCCCAGTGAATTTTGATTGGCTTATGCCCATCGTGTGACAAAAAGTGATTTATTTCATTTGACGGGCGTTGACATGGCATATTCCTTATTTGAAGTGGCGCCTCTGGCTTAACCTTGACGGCATTTTCGAAGTATTATCGGAACTAGATCGCGAAAATTCGCCTCCGCTTTGTAAGTAAATTCGCAACATCTTATTCGCATTTGGCATAGCAAAATTCTCTCTATTGTGTCGGTAAATTTTCAAGAGTTAAATCAGGAATCCCGAATGGGAGGAGCATGTTGTAATGACCGTAACTCAATTATCTTTGTGTGAGCGACCTGACTAAAGCTTCCCAGTAACTGATGGTACAAAATTATATTCCAACACTATCAAAACCGGTCTTACCTTGATACCATCTGCGGTACCGTTTAGCAAAAATAACAAGTATCAAGAATTCGAAACTATCACATTAATGCCGCTAGTAGGCTTTACTGTGAAAAATAGAATTTACCGAAAAAACACAACCTTAAATCACCCCTGGACCAGTAAGAACACCTCCGGCAAGGCAGAATCAAGATTATGTGTGCAAAAATCAGAAAGAGCAAAAAGCGTCTCTCTTAGATTATTCAGGGCCAGGAAGTTTGATATGTAGTCAATGATATCTGTTTTGTTCGCCAATCTGATATGGGCTGCTATATATCTATGGATCGTTAGTCAGTGAAGTCTGTCAATCGACTAAATAACAATTTACTATCTTTGTCACGTGGCATTGGAGCCAGTCAGAATCCAGTTAGCGGTAAGAAAAGCTGCTTATCTACCTTACTGGTTCATCTATCTTAGTTATCTTCCTCATACTCGTTTGCTGTGTAATTGAGTGAAACTTTTCCATTCGCACTTTTGTGTGATAGTTAGTCTTCCTTGTAGGAGTAATATGCGTGTCCTCCGACAGCCCGCTGTTCCTGTAAATTCTCTCTTTGGGTCAGGCAAATTTAACTACTGTGCAATATCAGTCGTTCGCCATCGACCGTCATAACTCGTTAGTCATATTTATACTCAGTCATTACATAACAGAGTTACCCCGCGACTTAGCACTGAATTCATTTAAACAAAACTGAGATCGCAAAACAGTATTCACCTATCAACAACAAAACACAACAGCAAAGAGAAGCATTGAAGATGTGGATCAACAGGAAACGAAAATAAATGATAAGTGTCAAGGCAAAAAGTTGTAAATAACAGATAGACAACAAAGAGGTCGGATTAAAAGGATAGTAATAACAAAATTAGTGTTACTGTCGTAAATAGATTTTTCAGGATGGATTTTTAGATCCCCTACTCTGCCGCTGGTGTATGTCTTGTAGATCGACTGGATTTATGGAAGCCTCGAGCAATATACACCAACTTTTCAGGTTTCAAAAACTCTAACTGCCTTCACAAAACTCTATCTGAAACTAAAACTAATGCTTTATATCCCCTCGTCCAAGGACAAATCATCAGCAAAGCAACCACATTTTTCGACAGGAGGACTGGTCTGAATTCATCACCTGATACTTCATATCTCAATACGTGCTTCGATACTTTCATAACTCTAAGATAACCACTTACTTTCAAACCGAGACTATATGGTTCAGATTTCAAAAACATAAAATGACGACTCTTCATAACTACTGCAGTCAAGGAACTTAGCCCTAAGTTCCTATTGTTACGAAGACACTCCGAACCGATAAATACTATGTACTTTCTTCGACTTTGACTCCAAAACACCAGTATTGTAAGAAGGAAGTTATAGTGTTTGGCAATTAAAGCGAAAAATAAGACAAGTCTATAAACAAATGTTTTATACTAAATTATTATGTACTTTTATTCGTTTTCGCTTGTCTTCGTCGAACTTGTACACGATCGAACCATTCCTGCCTTCGAGTTGCCCACCAGTGGCTACCGATTCTAAAAACAAAAGTTCAATGTTCACGTCCATTGACACTCCCCGGCAAATAGGGTCCATCCCTCTTTTCCATAGCGCCGATAACCTTGAACTGAACTGACAACGCGGGAACCTGGGCCAACCGGGACTAGGCGAAAATGGGAAAGCAAGACAAAAAGGCCCAACACACAACAAGCATACCACATCAAACCGACATGCTCTCCATGGTGTGCGGAATCTTCCTCAGTGATCGGAACTTTCCCTCGCCCTCTGTCGAGAGTCCACCACTGATTTGGTCCACTAGGTGTTGGTTGCTTCATGTCACTCTGGCACAATTTTCTC